TGGGCACGGGGGTGTTGGGTTGATGGTTGGACTGATGGTCTTAGAGCCCCTCTCCAACCTTAGTGATTCCCAGTTTTACTTTCATTAGAAAATAATCCAGCCAGCAAGCCAGGAAACATGAAATTAATTATTCCTCTCCCCTTAATAGGTTTAGTGGTGGACTTGGTAGTGTTGGGTTAATGGTTGGACTGGATGATCTTAAAGGTCTTTTCCAACCTAAACAATTCGATGATTCTACATATATAAGAAGTTAGTTCCCCCCCAAAATCCACATACTGGGTCCGCAGCTGCCTGCCAGTGCAGCCTTCCCATTGCTCTTGAATCGGGGTCTCTTGCAGACCCCTCTTAAAGGTCTTTTCCAACCTAAACAATTCGATGATTCTACATATATAAGAAGTTAGTTCCCCCCCAAAATCCACATACTGGGTCCGCAGCTGCCTGCCAGTGCAGCCTTCCCATTGCTCTTGAATCGGGGTCTCTTGCAGACCCCCCGACCAGGATCGCCCACCCACCGGGCTTTCTGGGCGCTGCAAACCCAGCGAGCGGGTCCAGGCTGGGGGTGCCAAGCCACGGTGGCCAGCATGGCCGCCCTGCACAGCGGGAGACTTTCAGGGCGTGGGGTGACAGTGGGGGGTCCTGCCCCCCCGCAGCCTGCCCAAAGGGAGGCGTGGGGCAGCGCAGCTGCCTCATTTATGCTGGGAAAAGTAAAACGCCAGTGGGATGTCTGAGCTCCCCTGCAAGGGACACGATGCGTGATGGCAGCATGGGCAGAGCTAAGCTGGAGCGGGCAGATACAGGTGGGACTGGCAGTGGAAGTGGGATGAACTGGGATTTTTCTCAGGGGGTATCTTTTTGGGGATGTTTCTGGGCAGTCTGGGATTTTCTGTGTGTTTCACCTCTTGTTTTACCTTTTTCAGCTCCAACTGAGTCCTCCATTGAGGAGATCTTTGAATCGCAGAATTCAAGGATTCCCGGAGCCATTGCTGTGTGCAAAGCATCAGTTCTCCTCTCTTTCATTCATGGTTTCACTGTTTTCAGGACAAATTTCTTCCTGCTGGAGCCGGCTGAGCCTGTCCTTACCCATGATTAAATCTTTCAGTTTCTCTTCCAGAGCCAACTCTCATGCCTGAAAACTTTAAAAAGAAAGACGTGGTTGAAATTTTGTCTCACAAAAAGGCCTACAACACATGTAAGTAAACATCACGGTGAACGTACCCCCCCCAAAACGGGCCCAGAGATGGGACCGGGGCTGTAGAGAACTGGAAAGGTAAAAGGAGGGGGCTTCGTGAGCACAATCCCATGAGCGCAACCCAGCTGTTCCTGCAGCCCAGAGCCCCTCCGGGCTGGGCTCAGCACCGGGCAGGGGGAGAAGAAGGCTTTCCAAGAAAGGATGGAGATGGGATGTACTCATGGGCCTGGGGAGGGAGAGGGGAAGAGCTCGTGCGGCCCCGCAGGGCAGCGAGGGTGTGCGGGGCCGCCCTGATGCCCACCGGGGAAGGGTCGGTGCCACTTCTCCAGGACGTGCTTCTGGAAGGAAGGAGGGTGGGAGGGCTTGGTGGGACCCTGCGAACCCCTGGGCCCCTGGCCACAGGCCACGTGGGAGCGGAGGAGGTGCTGGGGGTGGTTTCCAGTGCAGCCCAGCCGGGTGCATTGGCGACGTACGTGCACGAGGATGCCATACCCTGGGGGGTCTGCAGGACCAGAGTGACTCCTCGGGACCCCCGCTGCAGCCTCTGCAGGGCCTTGGGGAGCAGAAAGCCCTTCCTCTCCCCAGGGCTGACCCTGTGCCAGTGCGGGCACGGGGGGAAGTCCACGGCACTCTCACGCTTTGGAGAGATTGAGCTTCTCCTCCCGGCCCCGTCCTGCCAGGGGTCTGTCCCAGCGCAGCCAGCCCTGGGGTCCAGTCCTCCTCCCCTCCCAAATGACGCATCTCCCTTCCCCCAGCCATCCTGATAGCCCACCTCAAGCTCTCGCACATCGAGCTGCGCCAGATCCTCATGACGATGGAGACGGACCGCCTGGAGCCTTCCCACATCAAGCAGCTCTTGCTGTACGCCCCGGATGGGGAGGAAGTCCAGCGCTTCCAGAGCTACAAGGAGAACCCTGGCAAGCTGAGCGAGCCCGACCAGTTCGTGCTGCAGGTACGTGCTCCGGGAGCGAGGAGGTCCACATGTGCTGTGTCCCCTGATATCCCACTGCTGGAAGGGAGGAAAACGCCCAGCAGAGAGGAAGTGGTCGGCAGGACGCTGGTCTGCTCACGCATGCTGCGGGATGGGAAGAGCTGGCCGCAGCGGTCACAGGGACCACCGGCGAGCGATGCTGGGGCTGATGCCTGAGGTGTCTGGCAGCTCCCACGGTGGCTGTTTTACAGCCAAAGCATACCACAATGTTTACTCCACGGTAAGAGTGACTTTGCGCAACTTTCTGTTGACAAAGTCACTTGTGGATATCGGCATGAAACTGC